CTAGAGACAGTACGTTTGCTACTCTCTATTGCGGCACATGAAGGATGGGAGGTTCATCATATGGATGTGAAGTCAGCCTTCCTCAACGGTGATTTGGAAGAGGAAGTGTATGTCACTCAACCGCCGGGATTTGAAATAAAGGGAGAAGAGCACAAGGTGTTAAAACTGCACAAAGCATTGTACGGTTTGCGTCAAGCACCTAGAGCCTGGATAAATCATTGAAGGTGAGAGGTGTTCTTTAGAGCATGCAGTGTACATGAGAAATCAAGGTAAAAGAATTTTAATTGTTGGAGTCTACGTGGATGATTTAATCATCACTGGAGAGTGTATTCAAAACATAGATAAGTTCAAATCACAGATGAAGAAATTGTTTAGCATGAGTGATCTTGGGTTACTAAGCTACTATTTGGGAATTGAAGTATGTCAAAATTCTCAAAGGATTACACTTAATCAGTCGGCATATGCAAGAAAGGTTTTAGACAAATGCGGCATGAAAGATTGCAACCCTTCGCAAATTCCGATGGAACCTCGTCTAAAACTGAGTAAGGAAAGCACAAGTCCACCTGTAGAAACAACTTTGTACTGAAGTATTGTTGGCAGTTTAAGATATCTACTGGACACACGCCCATGTTTGGCATTCTCTGTTGGCATGGTGAGTAGATACATGGAAAGACCCACAACGGAGCACATGGCCGCAGTGAAACACATATTACGGTATGTGAAAGGAACTTTAAACCTTGGTTGTGTTTATGAGAAGAAGAAAGGAAGCTTGAAACTGGTCGGTTACTCAGATAGTGATCTAGCTGGTGATACTAATGATAGGAAAAGTACCTCGGGTTTAATATTTTTCCTTGGGTCAAATCCTATTAGTTGATGTTCACAAAAACAGAAAGTGGTTGCGTTATCTTCCTGTGAAGCAGAGTACATAGCTGCATGTGCAACTGCGTGTCAAGGAGTGTGGCTGGGACGACTATTGGCAGATTTGTTAAAAACTAAAGTTAAGAAAGTAGTTATGAAGATTTATAATCAGTCCGCAATTGCATTAAGCAAGAATTCAGTTTACCATGAGAGGAGCAAACATATCGATACCCGATTCCACTACATTAGATATTGTGTTGAATCTAGAATCAATGAAATTCAACATGTTTGCACAGAAGATCAGCGTGCTGATATTCTGACAGTCACTTGCAAGATTGAAGTTCTTGGAGATGAGAGAAAAAATTGGTGTGCGAATCGTCAGCGAATGACAACAAGCTTAAGGAGGAGATTGTTTGAGTTAATCTAGTTGTCTAGAAATTGTTTATGTATTTTTGCACATTTTTCATGTGGATTAGGATGTTATGAAAACCGGTTTGTGGTTAGGTGGTTAGGAAAACCGTTAGGTGGTTAGTTGATATTCTAAAAATAAATGTGAGTGAATGATTTGTATGATTATACTTATTTATTTCATATGCATATTATAATAATAAGATATTGGATGATATTTATAATGCAAATAAAACATTTTATGACATGTTTGCATGTGCATGCTTGACTATGATAGAGTTCACCCATTTATGAGACTAACAAGAGAACATTAAAATACTCATGCACGTAAATAAAAAAAGATATTAATATTAATGTATTTTCATTAGTACAAACTTAGACAGTGCTCTTGCGACAGTTGTATGTAGATTAAAAATATATATTAATATGTAAATAATATAGTAAGACATAGTGAATATTTAGAATTAACTTAAATGATCATATTAAATATTACAAACCTTCAAATGCTTTTAGATAGACTTACAAAAAATTTTAACCTACATTCATATTATTTTTTTTTCCATTGTATTACTATAATTTAGGAATATGCGTATTACCTAGTTTTTAATTGCTTACTATTATTTTGAACTATCATTTCAAGTTTAATTATTGAATTAAAAGATGAACTATAAAAGAGAAATGAGCAATTAGAAATGAGGTAAATTTAATTGTATTGCTTTAATTTACTCTTTTTTTTATATAGTGACTCTTTCATTTGTTAAATATTAGTTATAGAAACATAATATAGAAAAATTTAATTTCACCGTCCAACCGTCTGTACCCACCTTGATTAATTCCAAACTTTGGACAAAGTTGTGACAAATGACCACATATAAATAGCCATGAGACTATTTTGGCACTTTACTCCCCACTACTATTTATGTGGAGGTGTGCTTCTCATCTCATAATAAGTGCCCTAATTTGGCATTATTGAATGTAATGTATTTCGAATGTGGGGGACTTTGAAAATTTAGATGTTCCATTTGTTGAAAAGTAAACTTACGTGAGCCCTTGTTGCGACATCTTCTTCTCCTTCACTATTCATCTTGTAGTTCAATCTCCCAAGTGAGCTACCCTTAAGGTCTCTTCGAACAATACGATACTAACCCAATGATATAAGATAAGTAGAAAACTAAAGGTATACCTTTATCGTAGACTATTGACTATTAAATACAAAGTAATAAGTACAAAATAACAACTACAAAGCTGAGTAACAAGTGTTGAATATTAAGTAATAAGTACTACTTTATCATGGTCTGACTTCGAGTTTTATTCTAACTATACACCTCCAGTCATGTATTTTATCATCCCAATATTGCTTATTATATAGCATCTATTGTCACACTCGAGACCCCAAATCTTATTAGTATGGGATCTTGGGGAAAGCTAAGAGGACTTTTTTTTGTTCCTCTAGGAGATCTATCTTTTCCTCCGAATAATCTTTTTCATATTTCTTTCTTTCTCTCTCATCTCGCTCATGCCGCATGCCATGTCCTCCATATTCCTTGGGGTCATTTATGTTTATATTTCATGAATCTAATATACTCGATGAAGTTTCTCCTCTAACTTCAAATCACTTTCTACATATCTTTCGTTTTCTCACTGCTAGTAAGATTTGGGCATAACTTGAGCAAAAAATTTAGATGCAACAGAATAGAAGCCCGCAATTGTTACAAACCCAGTGACAAAGGTAATCAACACAACTACAAATATCACCTCATAAGAATTATTCAAGGTTTAACAAAAACTTATAGGCTGCCTCATTTGACTCCAAAATACTCTCCTAATCATCCATGCCATAGCTCAAGGGACAATTCTTTTAGGATCCAAACTTATTCATCAAAGCATGCAAACCAATGTCAAACTTTGTTGACTTTATTATTTACTGAATCTCTAAAAGGCTGCTGAAATCTTCCATCAACTTCTCCTAGAAGACCCAATTGTCATCAAAAGACTTTATTTACTCTTAAGATAGGATATGCATTTGCACACCTAACCATTATAAATCAAATATAGAAAGATTTACACACATACATGACACTTGATTCCTATGTATTTATAAATCTAATACGTAAACTTCAACTTCTACAAACATGCCACCTTACTTAATGCATGAAAAAGGTGTATTTCACTTTCTAAATGTTCAAATAGTGATATGTTTGATGTGATATGATAGTTTTGACGGTATAAATGTAAAAATTAATGTTTGATGTGTAAATACATATGAATTGGGTGGAATGTACGTAAATGCCTCTACAATATAGTTACCTATGACAATATTGTAATTCTAAAAAATTTATAAAATCATTTGTTCACAATAAAACATACAATTTATCAATCAATATATGCAAGTCGACGAATCAATGTATGTAAATGCCTCTAAAATATCATGTATTGATTTTACAGATAACAATATGAAATGCCAAAAAAACCACATATAGTGACTAAATTTATATATATATATATATATATATATATAGATATTTATACCCCTCAAAAGAAAGTATCAAAACCAGTTGCTTCAAGTACCTATTTTATGTAGCGGCCGAGCCATTCTCCAACGAGCATCTCTCCCTCGAGCTTGCAATGGGAGCACAAACCACCATAAAAGTTGCATTATGAAAAAGGGAGATTTACATACATACCACACAATTCTTATGTATTTACATAATACCACACAATTCTTATCATACCACACAATTCTTATGTATTTACATATTTAACGCTCAAAGTTTGATATTTACACCAGTACCACCTTGTTATTATGTATGTAAATGCCCCCATCAATAAGAAAAATTTACATACATAACATGCAATTCTTATATATTTACATATTTAATACCCAAGGTTTGATGTTTATGCTTATAACACTTTGGGTGTAATAAACAAATGCATGAAAATGTATATTTCACCTTTAAGAAAATAGTGATGTTGGTGTTTTTGATAATATGTTGGAGACTGGAGTGGTGTGCATGTAAATATGAATATTTAGGTGTTAAATATATAAATACAAAAGAATTCTGTGGTATGTATGTAAATGTCCATATTATCAATAAATCTAATTGAAGGTACTTGTGCTTGCCTTGTAAGTGCCGAAACTATCGATATAGGAAGATTCATCACTCACTCGCCATTTATGAACCATACTCCTAAGGCTTATGTTCGACTCGCTGCCATCATCATGATCGCTGTAATTGCTCGGAGACCACTGGTCCGCAACAGGGGACAACATGGCGACCACATTGCCCATTTCTGGCCTATTGTTGGGTTCGCGGGCGGTGCAGTGATAAGCAATCTCTGCAACATCGGCAATGCTTTCGCGAGATTCTTCGTCGGTAAAGAGAGAAGAATCAACAAATTTCGCTAAGCTAGATAGATCTTTGGGGTGGATTCGGCGAAAGGCGGCCACTAAATTGGCGTCTTCGATGGGGACAGTGTCATCGAGTACCTTTCTACTTGTCATTAGCTCCAAGAGTATCACACCAAAGGCATAGACGTCAATTTTTCGTGTGATCTTTCCGGTTACTACAAAAAAGAAAAACAGTTCTATCAGTATATATAAATATCAACAATAGAGAAGGAAAGAAGCACAATAACATGTATGAAGGTTCGCATAACTCTGACGATATTCTTCTTTTATTGCTTCATATTCTCATTCACGCCGGATCATCGACGACCAAATATTTGGTAGATTTTGGGTTGGTAAATATTTCTTTGCGAGAATCTTATGTATATAGTAAAATTTCATAAACAAGTCTCTCCTTTGATATACAAAAATAGAAGGGGCATTCACACACATACCACACAATTCTTATGTATTTATGTATCTCAAACTTAAACTTTCATATTTACGCATAGCATTCAAATATTTATTATCACAACAAAAAGAGTACTATTACCATTATTGAAAAGTCAAATACATCTTCTCATGTGTAGGTTTACAACTCCAAAGTGCTATCTATTTACATATCTCAAACTTAAACTTTCATATTTACGCATAGTGCTATTTATTTGTTTAGATATGTAAATATGGAAGTTTAGGCATGAGATATGTAAATACATAAAGAATTGTGTGCTAAGTATGTAAATTTCTCAAAATAAAAAAGGCAGATTGAGGTAACTATGAGTTCAGCTAACTTGTTTCTTTAACTAAGTGAACTTAATTACACTTTGTTACAAAATAAAAAAGGCAGATTGAGGTAACTATGAGTTTAGCAAACTTGTTTCTTTAACTAAGTGAAAAGCTTAATTACACTTTGTTCAAAAAGCATAACTAATTACTATCATTTAATAAGAAGAATGGTATTATTCATGAGAGCTAAAGTCATGGGAACATCACTCAGATTATAATATGCATTTGAATTATAGGTTGGTGCTATAAAGCCAACATTAATGTCATATGATTTTGGTAGGTGGTGTGATTATTTTATAGAAATTAAGAACTCTCTTTATTCCTATGAAATTGATATTAATATATAGTTATCTAATCATGTATTTGAATTATCTCCTTTATATGATTTGATTAACATATTAACATGATGATTTACTGAACAGTTTTTTGAAACTTGACCTGATTATGTTTGTTTGACAGCTTAGCAATATATTAAGATTTGCTAATCAATACCCAAATATGATCTTATTTTGAGCCTTATAAATATGGGTGTGTATAATTTATTGGGGCATTTACATACATACCACACATTTCTCATGAATTTACATTTCTAACATCTAAACATTCACATTTACATGCATACAAATTAAATCTTTAACATCACATCAAAAAATGCCGCAATCACTATTTTTAAAAGTGAAATACACCTTTTCAGCATAGGTTTACGACACCAAGGTGTTAACTTTGGGTCTTAGATATGTAAATACTTAAGAATTATGTGATATGTATGTGGATTTCCTTAATTTTTTTTTGAATGTATGTTGTTTTTCATTAATCTGATGAATTTAAGTTTTACTTAGCAAATAATGGTCGATAGCTTAAGGAAGAAGGATACAGTAAATAAGGGTTATTTTTTCAGTGCAAGAGCCTAAAGCTCCTTTGCTGAAACAATTGCATGGGCATTTTATTTCGGGGAATTTACATACATAACGCCATATTACCACGCAAATATTTCAAATTATCACATTCAAATTATCACCATTTTAACTTTTAAAAAGTAAAATACACCGTTTCATGCATAGGTAAGATGATATGCATGTAAAAATTGAAGTTTATGTGCTTCAAAAGGAAAATATATATATAAAAATAATTGGCGGTGGAATAATAATATACAAGAAAATATAAAATATATAATTATATAAGGTGGCTCGTAGGAAGTCTAAGAAAACAATTTGTGACGCAAAAAATTCTGCTATTAGTGATCTTTATAATAGATTAGATACTAAAGAATGAAAAATATATGTATAAACTAGTCAAATAAAAAGAAAAGAAAAGTAAATATTTTATTCAAGTAAAGCGTATTAAAGATGAAAATAAAAAAAAATACTTTTTTTGAAGAAGATATTCAATATATGTGGGTCAGTTATTTTGATAAACTTTTCAATAAAGTTTCCAAAAATAGATATTGACATTAGTGATTTTAATCTCGTTGATAATAATGAAATATTTTATTTTTACCACACATTAGTAATAAAAAAGCTAAAGAGGCTTTAAAGAGACCCAAGGGTAAGAAATCAGCAGGACCAGATGATATCGTCATTGAAGTGTGAAAATATTTAGGAGATTTTGGAGTTTTTTGGCCTACTAAACTCTTTAATATTATTTTAAGAACTAAAAAGATGTCTGAGGAGTTGAGGAAGAGTATTTAAGTTCCTATTTTTAAGAATAAAGGGGATGCATAAGAATGTGCTAGTTATAGAGGGAATAAGTTGATGTATCGTACCTTAAAATTATGGGAGAGGGTAAATGTACATAGGTTAACACATGATACAAAATTTTCTTATAATCAGTTTGGATTTATACTGGCCAGGTCTACTATGAAAACAATACATTTATTGAGAGATTTGATGGAAAAGTAAAGAGAGAATAAGAAGGATCTACATATGATTTTTATTGATTCAAAAAAAATTTATGATATGGTTCCAAGAAGTCGTAGAGTTCTAGAGAAAAAAGGTGTTGATATGACTTATATTCAAGTCATTAAAGATATGTATACTAGAGCTATTAAATGTGTTCAAAGAGGAGGATTGACCAAGTATTTTCCTATTTTGGTTGGATTACATCATAGATCGGCTTTAAGCCCATATTTTTTTTGCTTTACTTAAGGATGCACTTACTAGACTTTTATAGGAGGATGTACCTGGTTGTATGCTTTTCGCTGATAATATCCTTCTTGTAGATAAGACTAGAAAAAGAATTCAGAAAAAAAAAATTGAATTATGGAAGTCTACATTGGAGTCTAAAAACCTTTGTTCGAGTTGAACTCTTACTACATGAAATATAATTTTAGTAGTAGTAGCTCTAGTGACAGAGTTGTAACTATGGTAATCAAATCATTAAAAGGTGTTAACGTTTTAGATATCTCTAGTCTAGTATTTAGAGTGATGGTGATATAAATGGAAATGTTATTAGTAGAATTCAAGTCGATTGGTTGAAGTGGAGAAATGTTTCGGGTCTATTGTGTGATAGAAAAGTATCGCTTAAACTGAAAGAAAATTTTCATAAGATGGTGGTGAGACCTGCAATGCGCTATGACACAGAATGTTGGCCTTTCAAAGAGAAGTATTAAACAAAGTTAAGTGTTGCTGAGATGAGAATGCTTAGGTGGATGATTGGTTTGACACTTAGAGACAAAATGTGAAATGAATATATCCGTGATAGGGTTGGCGTAGCTCTAGTGGCGCCAAGATTAGAGTGAGTCGTCTTAGATAGTTTGGTCACATCAAACTTCAATCATTTGATGATCCGATTAAGAGAGTAGATGTTTTAAGTCTGACTGATGTTAAGAAAGGCAGAGTTTGACCTAAAAAGGCTTGGACATATTGTATAAAAAATAATCTTAATATATTAGAACTAAATGAAAATATGACAATCAATAGGACACAATGGAGAAAAAGGATTCATGTAGTCGACCCCACTTGGTGGGATAAAATGCTTGTTGTTGTATGTTAAATAAAATAATTACTTTAGTGAGAAAAATGCCTTTATTAATGAGTTTAACAGGAATGGGAATACTATTAATAATGTTCATTTGAAATAATAAGTAGGCGCTAAAAACTTACATTTCTATCAAGAACTGAACTACCCTAAAGTTGAGGATATCTAATTTTGGTAGGTGGTGTGATTAGTTTATAGCAATTATGAGTTAATTTGTTCCTATGAAATAGATATTTATGTGCAATTGTCTATCCTCGCAGTTGAATTCCGTCTTGATATGGCTTAGTTAACAAAACAACAATGTGCTCTACTTATCAGTAATCTAACATAGGAAATAATAATAATTCATTATGTAAATTAACTCTTAAACTGACAATATAAAAATATATCATAAATTCAAAATGAGTATTCTTAAACATATTGAACTTATGTCTTCAAGCCTTCAATAAGCTGTTTGTTTTTACTTGTTGTCATAACCCGGTATATTAGAGTATATTGTAGTGGGTTATAGATTTGCAAACTTTAGCACTATTTCAGCTTGAACAAGCACCAACAAATTCTTAAGAATTCAAATCTAATGGGGCTCATGAGTTTTATAAGGAGGACATTAATTTCCTAACTTGTCTTCTACATTTGATGAAACCTACTTCTAAAGTATTTTGGAGAAAGAAATGGCACTAGAGATTATATCAAGTAAATTATCTCATTGATTGTTTTATTGCTAAGGTACATTCTCTAAGATTTGTCCTTTTTTGTGTAAATGAAATAGAAATTGTACATGGAGTTGGGATTTCCTAAAGGAAGCTTTTTCTAAGAAGCAAATCTTCTTTGTTCTTTAATTTCACAAGCACAAATGGGCTCTCCCTACAATGTGATAGATGGGGCAATTGTGAATCTAAAACTAAATCCATGGCATGTTGAATGTCCCTTATAAATTATAGATAATCCAATAAAACCTGAAGACATATATTAGTAAATTTATCCAATATTTCTTGGATCACAATAAGAATGTAAATCTCAATAAGTTTAGCTCTAGCTTCCTTCATATGAAGCAATTGAAGAGAAAATAGATGATTGAATTCCCTCTTCAGGCTAAAATTAAATAAAAAAAAAAATAGCAATGACTAAATAATTATGAAAGTGCAATTGCGAGTAATATGTGATTTCACGCGATAAAATGCATGTAACATACACTAAAAAAATTTATAAGTTCAACCAAACATGAACTACCAAATTTAGACTTTGCACAATATCTTCTAGTAATTGCAAACTGATGGAGCTAACCTATACTTTTGTTTCTTAATGAAGAAATTAACCATCAGAAGAATTAGCAACTAGGGAAACAGGCACCCAAATGGTGTCCTTGTATAGCTATAACACCCATGCTCCTTCCTTTCTACAGGCTTGACTCTGATACTAGAGTGATAATGGTTGTGGGGTGAATATTCTTGTTGGGGCCGGCATGATGCAGGGACAAAGAGAGAGAGAGTTTTTGAGAGGTTTCCAAATTTGAAAGAACTTCTATCTTAGGTATTGGGAACCTAGGAATGGATTGTGAAGAGAATGATGCGGGGGCAGTGAGACGGTGGCCGAGAGATTTTCAAATTTGGAAGGTGGTTTGACCAAGCTCATTCCTTTGGTTCTCCCTTAGACTCGCGCCGACTTATGATGTTTATGTTACAGTTGGTGCTAATGTGGTCATTCACTTGGTGAGTTAGAAGCCTATTTTTTAAATATAGCCTTTCCTGTCTACAATAAAGTTGCAAAGGCAATAAAAATTACACAACAAAAATGATACAATATTAACAAAATTAGGAACAAATCCAACTCAATAAAGGAAGAAATATATCCACTTACTCGCATACTCAGGCGCAAGATACCCAAATGTCCCAGCTATCCGAGTGGCCATCGACTTCTCATTGTCTCCTGCAAGCTTGAGCAAACCAAAATCCGAAACCTTGCCCCTCAAATCCTTGTCAAGTAGAATGTTTGATGGCTTCAGATCCCTATGAATGAAGCTTCCCTGCATAAAATTATGGAGATACTCCATTGCCTTCGCCACATCCAAGGCTATCTTCAATCTCTGCTTCCAATTCAAGGGACAATACCCGCTCCCTTCCTGATCGAACAAGTGCTGCGCCAGCGTTCCCTCCGGCATGTACTCGTAAACCAGCAGCCTCTCATTCTCATGCTCACAATAACCTATAAGGGAAACCAGATGTTTATGCTTCGCCTTCCCAATAAGGCCAATTTCTGCCTTGAACTCTGCCACACCTTTCATGCTCAACAAATCAAGCACACACCTTTTGACAGCAACAACCATCCCATTGCTTAAAACTCCTCTGTAAACAACTCCAAATCCACCACTACCCAAAATAAAATCTTTACTGAAATTATTTGTTGCCTTCCAAAGATCCTGAATTGAGATTAAGTTCTCAGTATTTTCCCTCTGAAGTGTTGTATCAGAGCTGTTGCCATCACTGCTCTGTGTGTTAAGCTCGCTTGTAACAGTGCCATTGCCATTGAAACCAATCACCCCAACCTTAGCTTGCTCCAGCCGATCAGGAGGGGCCGCCATTCTCACTCTCTTGAATTTCTGCTTTTTTTTGCAGCCATGAAGGTAGTAAAGAAGACCAGATAAGCATCCTATAAGAAATAAAACAGCCACTACCATTCCCACAATGAACTCTGTAGAAGAATGGGATTGACCATTCTGAACTCCAGAAGAAGAAGAGGAAGAAGAAGAAGTAGGATTAGAACTCGGAGCCCCACCAGAAGCAGATCCATCAGAGTCCCCTCCTCCTGAAGAACCAGAACCAGAAGCAGAACCAAAATTGTTGCCAGCTTTCACCACTCTCACTGTGGGTGCAAAGCTAGGCACAGAACCAGTGAGTTGGTTAAAAGAAACATCAAGGAGTTGCAGCTGCTGCAAAGTGGTGAGAGAATTCGGAATGACTCCGGTGAGACTATTGTTGTTCAATATCACCTTTGTCAGGGAAGAGATATTAGCGATCTCCGGAGCAATAAACCCCTCAAAATGCTGGTTTGCAAAATTAAGCGTCACAATGTTCCCCTGCTGATCACAAATCACACCAAACCATCCTCCCCCGCCGCCACATGGATCGTTCCCGGTCCATGAACTTGCGAGCAGAACAGGGTAGCCGAACCCGGCTGCCACAGCGAGCAGCTTCATCACCTTGATGTCACAATCAGCGGACTCCGGGAGGCAGAAGCTGTTTCCCTTATCAATGTCCGCGGAGACTGCAGGTGCGAACTTGGGCTTCGGGCCTTGGAGATGATTGTTCGACAAGGAGACGTTTTGAAGAGAGGTTGCGGCAATGAGAGAGTTGGGAACGATGCCGGTGAGAGTGTTGTCGCGGAGGTTGAAGGATTTGAGGGAGGTGAGATTGGAGAGATCGGGAATGGGCCCTGAGAAAGCATTGGATTGTAGCCAGAGAAGAGAAAGCTGGCTCATCTGGCCTATAACATCGATGCGGCCGGAGAGCTTGGAACCTTGCTGGTTATTGAGGATGAAGTTGCGGATCTGGGATAGGGATAGGGAAGCAGGGAGAGAACCGGAGAGGTTGTTGTAGGAGAGACGGAGGACTTGGAGAGATGAAAGGCGGTCGAAGAAGTCGGGGAGGGAGCCGAAAACGGAGGCATTGGAGGCGGAGAAGGAGGTGAGGGGACAATCGGCCATGGAGGCCGGGAGTTGCCAGGGGGAGAAGGGATTGTCGTTGATGGAGAGCTTCTGGAGGCTAGCGAGGCCGGAGAAGAAGTCTGAGGGCACGGAAGAAAAAAGGTTGGCATCGAGAGAGACGATTTCGAGGGCGGCGAGCCCCCCGAGCGAAGGGAGTGGGCCGGAGAGTTGGTTACTGGAGAGAAACAGAGATTGCAGACTGCTGAGCGAAGAGAGAGAGGATGGGAGCGTTCCGGCGATGCCGCTGCCTCGGAGGTTGATGCCCGTGATGCGGCCGCCGGAGCAAGAGACGCCGCTCCATTTCGGGGAGCACGGATCAGAACCAGGTTTCCAATCCTCTGGAGCATTGCTCAGGCTCTTTACCAGATCGGCCATGGCTGCGGTTTCGCCTTCGTTGCCGGCAGATCGTAGGAAAGTTCCGGCAAGCAATAGGGTGAACAAGATAAGGTGGAGAGTAGCAAAAACCCGTCTTTGTTTGTTTTTCATCGTGTGAAAGGGAATGTGGGTACGGGAGAAGGAGCTGAGGAGTTTTTTTGGGTTTGGAGGTGGAGGTGGAGGTGGAGGTGAGGTGCAGAATGCTGCGGAGTGCGTCCCCTGTTGTTTCGGAAAATATTCCGATGATTCAGGCCGAAATTTTATAAGAGAACATGCGAAGTACTAAGGGAATGTCACTATATTTTTAATTATA